GAAGGTCCATAGCCCGAAACGTTGCCTATTACTTATATTATCCCCGCCCTTTAAAGACCACGGTGTGTTTGCGAGTGTGTGTTGAGTTGGTCATTGTTGACAGCAAAGCAGCAGCGGTTTTTTTTGTCAGTCGACTGCTGGATTATGTAAGCCTCTTCACGCTGTATCGGTCATGGGGGGGGGGGGGGGTGTTTGACCATACTTCACCACACTCGTTAGTTGCGGGTTGATTGAAGGTGGCGCTAGAGGAGAGGGTCAGGACCACCACCGGATACCGCTCGCCACTGATTTTGGCGCTGGTTAGGAATCGAACCTAGGGCCTCCTGGTTCATAGGGCCATGTTCTACCCACGTTACCACCGTCCCGACAGGAGGAAAGCTGCGTATATATCGTCCCCAACATGCAGTTGCCGATACTGCAACGTTCAACAAACAAGAAGCTCACGTTAAAAGAAATCAGGAATTACGTTGTTTTGCTGACAACCTCAAAAAACAACCCCCCCCCATCCACCCCCCTAAATATATTTACGTCTCTGCATGCACACACGCACACGCACGCACTTCAATATTAAATCGGACCAGGTTTCCAAGTATAGAGGTGCAAGCGCTGTCAGCGAGCGCCTATTAATGTCATCGTGTGGTGGGGCATGTTTGGTCACCAGCATCAATCACCGTCTGGTTTCTGGGCGTGGGGGTTGGTCTACTCACTCTGCTGTTGATCGCTTTTGCTTAGGATAATAATTTTAGGCTGAGCCGACCTAGGGGATGCACAGAGTGGATTCGCACACGATCCATGAGATTATTCGGCGGGCTATGAGGTCAACCCCCTCCACCTCGCGCACGTGATAAGCCGCTTTGTTGAGCTTAAGCGTTCGCTCGTGTGGCAGGTCACTTACTGAAAGAGAGCTGTCGAGCTCAGTGGGGCTTTACCCGGTGAATGTAAACGAAGTTGAGTTAATTTGCCACTGTTTGTGTGAGCCGCGAGTCACCGAGGCCGAATCGCCGGTGCACAAGCCACGACAACTACGTCACGTGCTCTGCCGAGCACAACCCCACCTCACACGAGGACGACGGAGACAATGCAACGATGACGACACTCACTGTGACGATGACGACACTCACTGTGACGATGACGACACTCACTGTGACGATGACGACACGCACTGTGACGACGACACTCACTGTGACGATGACGACACTCACTGTGACGATGACACTCACTGTGACGACGACACTCACTGTGACGATGACGACACTCACTGTGACGATGACGACACTCACTGTGACGATGACGACACTGTGACGATGACGACACTCACTGTGACGATGACGACACTCACTGTGACGACGACGACACTCACTGTGACGACGACACTCACTGTGACGACGACGACACTCACTGTGACGATGACACTCACTGTGACGACGACACTCACTGTGACGATGACGACACGCACTGTGACGATGACGACACTCACTGTGACGATGACACTCACTGTGACGATGACGACACTCACTGTGACGATGACGACACTCACTGTGACGATGACGACACGCACTGTGACGACGACGACACTCACTGTGACGACGACGACACTCACTGTGACGACGACACTCACTGTGACGATGACACTCACTGTGACGATGACGACACTCACTGTGACGATGACACTCACTGTGACGAGGACACTCACTGTGACGATGACGACACTCACTGTGACGATGACGACACTCACTGTGACGATGACGACATTCACTGTGACGACGACACTCACTGTGACGATGACGACACGCACTGAGACGACGATGACACTCACTGTGACGATGACGACACTCACTGTGACGATGACGACACTCACTGTGACGACACTCATGGTGACGACGACGACACTCACTGTGACGATGACACTCACTGTGACGACGACACTCACTGTGACGATGACGACACTCACTGTGACGATGACGACACTCACTGTGACGACGACGACACTCACTGTGACGATGATGACACTCACTGTGACGACAACACTCACTGTGACGACGACAACACTCACTGTGACGACGATGACACTCACTGTGACGATGACGACACTCACTGTGACAACGACGACACTCACTGTGACGATGACACTCACTGTGACGACGACGACACTCACTGTGACGATGACGACACTCACTGTGACGACGACGACACTCACTGTGACGACGACGACACTCACTGTGACGATGAAGACACTCACTGTGACGATGACGACACTCACTGTGACGATGACGACACTCACTGTGACGACGACGACACTCACTGTGACGATGACGACACTCACTGTGACGACGACGACACTCACTGTGACGACGACGACGACACTCACTGTGACGATGACGACACTCACTGTGACGATGATGACACTCACTGTGACGTCGACGACACTCACTGTGACGTCGACGACACTCACTGTGACTTCGACGACACTCACTGTGATGACGACACTCACTGTGACGACGATGACACTCACTGCGTTCACAAAGCGTCCTCGGTGAGCGTCATCGCGTGGCAGCGGTGACGCTCACCGCCGCCGCACCTGAAGGCGCAGCACAGCGATCGGGGAATCGCTGCGCGGCCTCTTTAAGGGAGCTCGAAGAGGAGCTTTTCAATAATGAGGTGAAATGCTACAGGCCACAGATTCGCGCTGTGGTAACGAGTGTGCGCGAAGACAAATCACACACGCGCACGCACCCAGTCATACGCAGAGGAGGAAAGCGTTAATCAAAATGGCTCCTAAACCCCCAATTCGCTGGGCCATTCCATGGGCTGGCAGCATCCGCCTCCCAGCCCAACGTCTTGTTTGAATCCAACACTCCGTGTGAATGACGAGAACTTCCCACAACGGGACAAATGCGTGCCGGGTGGAAGCAGGAGGGGCAGCAGTGGACGTCCGTGACCGCCCTGCACCGTTCCTGACGAGTCCAATTGAGAATGAAATCAGTCTGCAGTTGTATCTTTGTTTCACCGCTGCTTGACGGGGTCAGGGCCACATCCTCAACCGGTGGCTTAGGCAAGGCTGAGAGCGTTGTGCTTTTCAGGGTGGTGGCCACGTGACGTTGCGGTGCTTGGCACGACGTGGGAGCCGTGCCTTTTCCTGCCCGACAAAACGTGCGAACGTTGAGGTCAAACGCTGGAGGACGTTGTGAGGGTGGCAGCTTTGGCGCGGGCCCGACCGTTTGCGTTTTTGTGAGCAGCTCAACCTCGGCGAGGTCCCGGCAAGGCGAGGGCCTTGCTGGGTGCATGCGGGGCGATGGGCGCCTGCGATCGCCGGTGATCGCGTTAAAGAGTGGCCAGGTTCAGTGACTAAGTCGTGGACTTTGCATCGGTGGTCGTTCCAGACAATGAGCGCTGCTAAGCTCGTAAAGAGCTCGGGTAGGAAACAGCTTGCTGACTCTGTGTGTTCAAGGGCTCTAGGAATTATCAATCGGATTTGACTTTTTTTTTAGCGTGGCTGTTCCGCAAGAGTTTGTTCCTTGTCTGTGTCCGAACATTCATCGCAGTAATCAGCAGCAGCTATGCACTGCTGAATGAAGGCCTCAATACCCAAGTTGTGGTCGTCTCTGACGGTCCCGCGATGCAGCGAGATATATCTATCATCAGGCGCCTTGTCTGGCGTGTTCACGCATAATTACGTGGTTTGGCTGATTACATTTCCTACTATGTTTGTGAAAGTTTCACCGATGACAAGCTTGGGAATTCAGGAGATAATTTGACGGTCTCCCGTGAATCGTTGGCCATGTAGAAATATTGTAGACGCAATTTTCGTTGGGTTAATGTTCGTGGAAAGGCATTTCATTTACATTCTTATTTATAGTACATGATTACAATTGACTCACTATGCTTAATCCAGAGAAACCGGTTTAATTTTGGATGACTCTCGCATTTAAAAAAGTTTGGTCAAAAATATTTTTTCACTGCACACACTCTTATTTGCACTCAATAGTAGAACATTAATTATTTTGATCCCGGAATTAATAAAATTTGATGTGCTAAATTTAAAAAGTGGGTGGCTCGCATGAACAAAATTAAATGAAAATTCTAAGATAGTAAGCGTCAAAGGTTCCAATTAATATAAAGAGACCACATGGCAAGTTCAATAAGTGTCTTATAATAATAAAAACAAGATGATTGGCAGCGCTGGCTTAGCCGCGTGGTGGTGACTAGGCACGTGACCTGTAATCCAGCACTCCTGGATGAAGGCCTCCCTATGCCACTGCCTTCCCTCACGGTCCCGCGACACCACAATCCACCACACTCTTGCGCACGATAACTGATCTTATCGCTCCGTTTGGACGGTGGATGTATCCTCTTGAACGTATTCTGACCTTTGGCTGTCATTCCATCGCCGGTCTTGTCTATCGGCCATCATCTCCTCTAGTGACGTGCCCTGCCCAAGCCACCATGCTTTTCTTAACAACGAATGTGGACTCCACCTGCTCCATCTGTAAGGGATAGAGTGTTGCCCCCCTCGCACACATGGGTTTTTTCTTATGGGAGCTACCGTTTCCTCTCGTATGTAAACGCTCATTAGTTCGATTTATTATGATTTATTTTATATGTTGGCACGGGTGAGAAACATTCTGCCTGAAGCACACAACGGCAGAATGCAGCAGCAGATTGTACAACGGTAGCGGTGGCAGCACAGGTCTGCCATTACTTTCACCTGATCTACTTCAGGCTTCTTCAGGCCTAGTGGGGATTGGTGTTATCGTATGGCTAACTGGCAACCCCCAAGTCTACAAAACCTGCTTCATGTGCTACGAAGAAGGGCCATTGCCCGAAACGTTGCCCGATTTGATATCTTTTTAAAAAATTTACGATGGCATTGTTGACGAACGTGTTGACTTTTTTATTGTTATATCCTCAGGCAGGCTGCCATCCAAGTCGCGAATCCTGTTGAAATCCCAGCTCCTCGCAAGAAGCTGTGGTCCTCGTTGTCACCTTCTTTCCATCCGCAGAGTGGCCGCAGCGCTGGCGGCGACGCCGGCCGCGGCTCCGGGCGGTTGAGGCCCCTGGCCGCGATGTCTCGCCCGCACGTGCGGTATGACCGTTGCGACTACCGCGGCCGCAAGGAACGGGGCTCCGTCGACGCCATGAGCGACAGCAGCAGCTGCAGCAGTAGCAGCAGCGGCGGCGGTGGCGGCGACCACCACTACCACCACCACTTCCAGCTTCAACATCAGCAGCAGCAGCAGCACAACAACAACCACCACCACGGCACGGGGAGACCTGGGTTGCTTCCGCTGCCAACGAGTGCGCCCAGCATTCCCCCGCTCATCCCCGCTGGGATGGGGCCCCTCAAACCGCCGACGCACGTACGCTCTGACTCCGCATCACGCTAGCAGCAGCGTCATCATCATCACCGTCGTCGTCATCGTCAACACCGTCAGCCTCGACGTCAGTGTGTCGTCCCTCCTCATTACTGGACTCACAACTGGCTTCCAGCTGAGCTCCGTGCTACACGATTCAAATTGCCATGCTTAACTCACAAAGCGCTCTGTCAGTAGTAGCCTCAATGTTTGACCAATCCTTCGAAGGGGTTTGAGGTCCTCGCGCGCGACCGCGATCCTTGGTGAGCCACAATTTTGGAAGAACAAAATTCTGAGCTCGGGATTTTTTTGCTCCATTCGACCCGCAAATTTGGAACGCTCTCTGCTTGAGATGCCCCCATTTAGAAATAAACCAAAACGATCGTTTTCCCGAGGACATGTTGGGTAATCTGAAGATGCTTTTTTGCGTGTACATTTAACTGTACGGCACAATGAATTGTTGGGTCTGCTGCGCCTTATAAAAAAAAAGTGAAATCGTCGTCATCTTCATCGTCGTCCCTGTCATCATCGCTATCATCGCTATTGGGATCATCGTCGTCAGGGTCATCATTGTCATCTTCATCGCTTATGATGAGCAACAGTGGAAACTTGGTACAACGATGGCATGGAGTGAGTGAGTGGGTTCTGTCTGGCCAATGAATGCAGAGTGAGTTCAGAAATCACTCAAACCTTGTAAATAATTTCGCGTAGGACTAGTACCGCTTAGCGTAAAGGGAGGGTGCTTGCCAGTAACATTGTCAGTTCATCAGCATTAGTTCAAGCGAGCCTGAACCTACTGCTGATGAGATACTGTGTGTTGAAACTGGTCCAAAGGTTTGCATTTTGTTGAATCAATGCTGCTGAAACGATGCACTCGACGAAGGTCATGCAGCTCATGGGCTGTGTAAGAAATACGTGGAGAGACGGATATGTGAAGGACACCTTTTATGATTATTCATTTTATTTTTGAAGAAAATATGGTCGATGAAAGTGGTTGGCCTGCAGAGCAACATAACCCTGGTTAGTTAACGCGTTTGATCTCTGCCCGTGATGCGATTGCTGAAGTTTTACATTCCAGTTTGAGTGCGAGGGGAAACAGCGATTGGATTTGTGGGAGAATATGGAATCTGCATTTAAACCCCCACAAAAATAAGAGTACAGTGCAGCAAAGGGGTTAATTTTAACCGGCTGAACTCCGGTAAAGTATAATAGAATCACCATAAAACTTGTATTCATGTTAAGCACGTAAAGTAAGAACATTCCTCGAAGTACAGTTGTTTTATTTAGCCTAAGGGGACAGCCGCCCGCCCACCCCCGCTAATGGCAGTCTTAATATGAACCAACCCACTGCACAAAAAACCCCATCCACACGCCATATCGTCAGAGGAGGAGCACTTTCTATAAAGTCACAAACTAAACCATGCTCCTCACCCCTCCCCCCCAGTGTGGATCGAGGCAATTCTCACCTTCCTCTTTACAACCCCCCCGCCCCCCCCCCCCCCCCCCCCCCCCCCGGAGCAAGCGGTGGAAATTCCACGCTCCTAACGGTCGGGGCGCAATTCGGGGTCAGAATCTCTCGGAGGAATCCGAGAAGCTAGGAATCTCGTTTTCGCACAGACGTCCCGGAAGGGGTCAAAAAGTTACAAAAAAAAACACGCGACAGGAGTGCAAAGTTATTGTCAAGGCAAACCGGTCGCTTTAACAAAACAAAAAAACCACCCGGAGGACAACCGCTGTTGAATTCCCAAGGAAGTGGTGCTCATTTTATCGACCCCAGGGGGTGGGGGTGGGGGGGGGGATAATGGGCTGAGTGGAAACCCTAACCAGGATTTGAACTCGCACGCTTCCAATCGTGAGCCCCCCGCCACGCTCCACCACTGGTGGAGCGAGCCTTCTGACGCGCTGCCCCGACGCCAGACTCCCACTCCACGTCCGACAAATCGACTCCCATCGCATTTTGATTATTATTTTATTATTGAAATCCGAACTCAAGGCCTTTTTTTAATTCTTGCAGGCATGCACTGAAAAAGAGGTCATCACTTTTGGGACAATGGACCGATTGGTCTAAATTGAGTCGTAACTATTTGGCACTCCACCACCACCACCGCCACCGCCCCTCCTCCTGTGAAGGTTTCCTGACCTGGCTGTGAAGTTGTGACTGTGTTCCGTGACGTGTAGTTGACCTCATGGACTTAATTTGACACTGTGATAACTTTCTGTTTGGTTCGTGCTATTTCTTTTCGTGCAACTTCTATGTATATTTTTTTTTACTTAATTTTACATTCGGCATCCAGCAGCGGCGGTAGCAGCAGCAGCAGTAACAGCAGCAGTAACAGCAGCAGCAGCAGTAACAGTAGCAGCAGTAACAGTAGCCGCGCAGCGGTGGGTTTGTTCTGCTACTTCAGTTGAGCGGAGTCCGTGCCCTTATTTGGCCCGGACCACGTGCTCACAAAACGCTGCCAATTTCATGTTTCCTGATGCCGCTTGTGAGCAATTGTTCGCCGCAGCAAGCATGATGCACCGAGCAACTTTGTCTCTGTGTCCCTGTGCGCACGCTCTCATATTGCACCCCCCCCCCCCATCCAGCCCTCCCCTAGTCACCCCCTAAAAAACATCCATCCCTTCCCCGAGCCTCCACCACGCATCCTCCTATCAGCAGATATTTATGATCGATCTAATAATGCTGACGATGACGACGACGGTGGTGGCGGCGGCGGTGCTGAGCTTCGTTTATTCCGGAGGGCGTAAACTAAACCCCGAGACTCTTTGCGACCGAGCGTTTCTTTTTTCGTCGGGATTGTTTGATAGATTTCATCGATGGCGTGTTTGGCATCGCGTGAGGATGAACACGGCAGAGCCCGGAGGAAAAACCCAGGCACACGTAGGAAGGTGGCCTGGGGTTGGTTACCCGTCAAAGCCCTGGCACAGATAGGTGTGGGAATTCGTTCCGTTGCATCGTCGCACGATTCCCACAGCGCAATTGGAATACATCGGTTTTGCAGGCCTCATTTTTCATTTTTAGTTTCAATCGTTTTTTATTGTTCAAACTCAACACTAGCCCGGTGCAAAGCACTAACCGTGACGTGGGGAGGTGGTGGGGTGGGGGGGGACGTAATAATTTCTGTGGACAAAGCCAAGTGCTCGGTGCGGATGGGGCTTGGAGCAGGGGGCAGAAGTTGGACTCCCGGGTGGGGACCGTGAGCGAGAGGATGACAAATAACATGGGGGACGGAAGGATAGGGGAAGGATAACAAAAACAAGGGGTTAAAGGTGGGCGGGGAAGGGGGGTGGTGAACTCCTGTCACGAATTGCCATCCGTCCCCAAGCAGCTGTCCCCTGGGTTCACAGAAGTGTTAGTTTTATTTATTTATTATATATATATGTCATTGACATGGGGGAGAAGGGAGGCGGTGGATTTGACTGACAACGTTTAAAACACTCGCACACTCAGCACTGAACTGGGCTTTAACCATCGCCGCCACCGCAGACGGCCCCGATGCCTCCTCAACGAAAAGGGAGCGGCGTGGTAACACCACCACGTGGCCCTACAGCACGGTACCACTGTGCGAGACACGTGGCTCTACAGCACGGTACCGCTGCACCCGTGCCCCGATAGCGCGCCCACCATGGGGATGAAATCGGCCGCTCGTGGCGCCGGAGCCAGACGGGGGCCCGCCACCTCGCGCGACCATCGCGGCGGAGTGGAGACGGTTTGAGAAGGAGGCCTTCGTTCATCCAGCAGCGGATTGGCCTTGGCCGATGATGCGAACGGGGACATTGACACGAGCGCGCCTTTGATCCGGATGCGAGCTACGTGGAATTAATGCAACAACAAAAAATTTGCTTCGTCACCAGCGGCATTTAGGAAGGGTAATTGCCGGAAAGATCAGCTTACTAATGTGTGTAATTTTTCTTTTACGAAAGCGATTGCTGGCTAGGACGACGTTGACGTTTTTTTTAATGTTTGTTAAACGAAGGCAGACTCCGCTTGTGAGCATGTGTTGTCAATAAAAAAAACTGTACAAAGTTCGAGCCATTCATATTCAATATTTAATCTGGCGGGCAGAAGCGGGGGGGGGGGGGTGTGAAAGGCAGTTCCCCTGAGTCTAACCCAAAACAGGCACTTACGTGTGCACAAAACACCCAAACTATCGCCCGCACCAGCAACAATAACAAACAGCGCGTTCATTTACCCATGAACAACCCCTCACTCAGACTCTCGCATCGGAATGCGTGGCCGCTTCCTCTCTTCCCATGTCAACACAGATGAGATCATCGACCCCAGTTGCTCTTCTGCCTCCTCCTGGCCACCTCGCGGTCCTAGCGGGTTCGGGAGTCTCGTGGAAGAATGCGATGGCACAGACCCTTTGCTTGGTGCATCGCGCACGTAGCCTCGTGCCAGCGTAGCCACGTGGTCGCGTAGCCAAGTGGTCGCGTAGCCACGTGCAGCGTAGCCACGTGCAGCGTAGCCACGTGGTCGCGTGGCCACGTGCAGCGTAGCCACGTGGTCGCGTAGCCTCGTGCCAGCGTAGCCACGTGGTCGCGTAGGCATGTGCAGAGTAGCCACGTGGTTGCGTAACCTCGTGCAGGGTAGCCATGTGGTGGCGTAGCCTTGTGCAGCGTAGCCACGTGCATGGCCTTGTGCAGCATAGCCACGTGCATAGCCTTGTGCAGCGTAGCCACGTGGTTGTGAATGCCTCGTGCAGTGTAGCCACGTGGTTGAGTAGCCTCGTGCAGCGTAGCCTCATGCAGCATAGCCATGTGCAGTGCAGCCATCCCGCTCGTGGCCAGGCCGCACGCGATTAAACAGATATCGATGATGTGCGCATTACACAGGAAGCGAGCGTGACTGGTTGCGTGTGTGTTGGCCTAATCCCAACGGTCTTAAGTGCCCGCAAATGAGAAAATAATTCCAGCTCCATCGATCGCACATAACCCCTAAGTAAATTACAGACTCATTTAGGATTCATTAGCGTCAGCTTGAGTGGGGGCATGAAAAAAAAGCACGATCGTTTATGTAATTTACCGTTATCGTTGTTAAATATGGTTTTAATGGTGATGGCCTTTATTTATCCGAGGCAGGCCCCTGAGATGCACAACTCATTTCCAAGAAGGTACTGGCAAGATCAGCGACGGTTCATCGTTTTTCGCTTAAAATCCACGGGTAAAAAAATATATTACTGCAGCAGACGGCATCATCGTAGTCGTCGTCATGTACGCACACATGCACGCACGCCGAACTTCTTTCGCACCGTACGTAGCCAACCGTGCTATTGGGAGGTGATGTCATCATCATCGTCGGCCGTGCTCTACCCACTGCTCGATGAAGGCATCTCCCAATCCATCCCTGCAGATGCGCCACGATCTCTCGGTCATCCTGCGCGGGCCAGCTAAATTTCACGGCTCCGTCTCCACGATGGATGCAGGGGGGGTCCCCTCCCGGGGGGGGGGGGGGGGTCCCCTCCCGCGTGCCTCCTCTCCTTTAGATGCCAGCTCGTCGATAGTGCCGCCCCATCGGCCGTCATTCCCTCCTGCGCAAGCCCCAACTTGACTCCTCCTGTCGCAGCACAATGTGACGCCATTCACCTGCGTTCGCTCCGTCCTCTGATCCACACGCTCCTCTGTCTCTCTCTCTCTTTTTTTACGATCAGAGGAAACAAGAAGATGCTCGGTGTAGTCGGCACTTTGCTTCGTTCATCATTTCGGTTTTTTTTTGTCTCTCGGTGTGATGCCGAGCACGGACCCGTCTCGACGAGCATCTGGGGCACGATGCACACTTTGTGTTGACGTTTCGCTTTGGGTTAACAAGTCAAAACGGCGAGCACCGGAGGCAGCCTTAGCTCGAGCTGTCGATGCTTTGGTGTGTGCATTGTCCTTGCGCTGTTTGCCTTTTGGTGGCCTTTCGTCAAGCACTGGTGAGACGAAGCCATAATTGAGGACCGTCTCCGGTACAGAGCAATCGGTTTTAAAGGACAGTGCGTCACCGTATCAACGCACATTTGTTTGTGTGTATATATAAAGTTTTTTTTTTATCACCACGCGTGTGTGTAGCGAGCGTTGACTTTATGCATTGTAAAAAGGTGTCGATTTGGTGTTGGAGCAGCTGAACGCCTCCTGCGTTTATTCCGGAAATGGCAAAGTGTTTGCATTTTGCGTTTTTATTTTTATTTATCGTTTCCATCAACTTAAACGCCAGCGGATAAACTCGGCCTGGCTGCACCGATCTCGCGCATCACGAAGTAATTTTATCACGCCTGTTATTTTTTTAATTAAAAAAAGTATTTTTTATATTCCAAATCCTCCCTCACATCGTACATTGCAACATTCTGACGTTCCGGGCCGGAAGTACCGGGGGCATAGACGATATCAGCAGGCACTCCGGACTCATCAGAGCAGGCAGGGGGGAGAGAAGGGATCTTCTTTGGGGGAGGGGGGCAAGTGGGGGGTTGGATGGCCTGTCATTTCCGTTCTGGGTTCAGGTATTTAAGACTGGTTCTAAGGTTCATGTATTTAAGACTGGCCTATGGTTCAGGTTTTTAAGACTGGCCTAAGGTTCAGGTTTTAAAGATTGGTCTAATGTTCAGGTATTTAAGACTGGTCTAAGGTTTCGGTATTGAAGACTTTCTAAGGTCTAAGGTTCAGATGTGCTAGACTAGTCGAAGGTTCAGATGTTCAATATTGGTCTAAGGTTCAGGTATTTCAGACTGGTTTAATTATTCTTCCTTGTCTCTGAGCTTATAACTCGGATGCTCCAGTGCTGAGATCGGGCCTAATGAATTCAGCCATTTGAGCATGGGAGAAAGGGGGGGGGAGTTCGTGATTTTTTCACGTGCTCAATATGCTTTTCCTTTCACACGGCTTCAATTAAAGGTGGGCAGCAGTAGCAGCAGCAGTCGCAGCAGTTTTGACGAGCGGACAGGCGGCGGGCAAGCGGGGCCAGCGCGGGGCGGAGCGGGGTGACAGAATGGGCACGCGTGCTCGACCGAGTGGCAGGGCTCAAATATGCTGGGCCGTCACCCGCCGGTCATCAGCTGCGTGACGCCCGGGCGACACGTGTTCGCCGGAGGGGAGCTGTGGGCTCAGCGACCACCTGCCTCGCTTTGCACGGCGCGCGTAACGCGATCCCTCCGTAGGTGCGGAGTTGCTTTCGTGCCCCCCCCCCCCACCACCAACCCACCGCCCCCCACCTCATCTGCTACCCGACGACTCCAATTACCATATCGCAGCAGTTCCGATGAGCACGGTTGGCTAAGTACGTTGCGAAAGAAGTTCACCGCACGTACATCCCAACCTTTCAGGCTGCGGCGTGGATACCGTGCGGGTGAAATTTGGGATGTGCCGCGGCAAGGCGGTGGAGGTGGGGGTTTCGGGAATGTCGGCGTCGCATTCGCTCTGACCCGAAGGCGCCAACGTGAAATGATTTGGGACATTTTTTCGTCAGTATCAAAGTATGAAAAATTAGAATAGGTTCTACCCTGACATGATTTCCTTACCGACCTCGATCCGCGTGTTAAAGCGACCGTAGGCATTTATTTATATATATTAAACGATGCTGCCCTCTCCAATTGCTTTCTCGTGCCACTCGGCCTCCACCGCAGGGAGTTCTGGCGAGCCCCTCGAGTGGGCCTTTAGCCTCTACTCTCACACGCAGGCCAGGCGTCTCGGGAGAGGTGTGGAGTACCCACGCTTTACCCCGCCACACGCAGCCTGCCAATCAGACTGCGCCATACCCATTAAGTGAAGAAACTTTGCTCATTCGTTTCATTGCAACTCCGATGTGCTGACCATTAGATCACGGTAGCAGCATCCTATATACATACAACAAGACAGAGAACCCCAGTACAGCCTGAACAGACTGCTGGGCCAAGCGCTGTTAGCGAGTAGCACCTATGATTTACAAGAACAGCAACAGCCACCCTTCGCCGCGGCACAGGACGGAGGTGCATGTGGGTTGACTGACTGAGATGCACACAAAGACAAAGATCCCCCACCGTGTAGCCTCAACGGACTGCTGGGGCAGGTGCCGTTAGCGAGCAGCACCTGTGCATGACACGCACGCGCGGAGCACTCGACGTTCATTCCGTGCGTTTCCAGGCAGCGCGCACGGCGGAGGGTGGAGGAGCTCCTTCGAGGGCAGCGATGGGAACCGGGGGTCAGTGGACGCAGACCTCCACGGCGGCCCAGGGGCTCCACTGGAGCACCCAAGAGCCTCCCGCCAAGCAGATGCGCGAGAGCAACGGTGAGACCGAGCGCGTGTCTCTCTCCCTCTCTGTCCACGCCTGTCTCTCTCCCTCTGTCCGCGCCTGTCCCATCTCTCGGTTGCCCTTTCATCGAAGTTGCATTGCATCGCCCGATCGGGATTGTATTAATATGTATTTATTTATTTGTTCATTTATATTTTACCCCCGGCCGTCCGTGATAAAGAGCTTCGTAGTTTGTCGCATTCTTCCAGGATAGATAACGATTCAGACTCTGTATTGATATGTCAACAGGCCAAGATGTGTGTGTGTGTGTGCATGCATTGGATAAATATGTAACAACTAAGCTTGTGCCGGAGGCCCCGGGGGGCCAGGCGTCTATGACGTCTCCTGGCCAAACCCCAATTGGCGGAGCCAGGAGATTGAATACCTACCCTCGGGGCTACTCCAGAAACAACGAAAAGCCACTACGGTTGGCCACGTGGAATGTTCGAACGCTCACTGCAGAGGAGAGGCTGCCACTCCTCTGTCGGGAGCTGGACCGGTACCGCCTGGATCTATGCGGCATTCAGGAGGTCCGGTGGACCGGCTCTGGCTCCTGCCACCATGAGGGGTGGACAGTCCTCTACTCGGGGCAGCAGACTGCCAAACAACAGGGTGTGGGTCTTCTTTTGAACAAAAGAATGAAGGGGGCGTGGGAGCGTGGCGGTGAGGTGTGGGAAGCTGTAAGCCCCAGGCTACTTTGGGCTCGCCTTCCCATCAACCGGAGGCGAGGAATGGTGGTCGTGGTTACTTATGCCCCCACCGAAGATGAACATCCGTGGAGGGATGCAGGCAAAGCCGATGAGTCAGATGCCTTCTATGACCTCCTGTCACAGGTGCTGGCTAAAGTGGCCCCTCGGGATAGAGTCATCATGTTGGGTGACTTCAATGCCCGAGTTGGTCATGATACTGGCACCTGGTCTGGAGTGATTGGAGGGCATGGGCCAGATCAGCTCAATAACAACGGTAGGAGGCTGCTAGATTTTTGTGCAGCCCATGGGCTTGTAATTACCAACACGCTGTTCCGGCATCGGTGCATCCACACAACATCATGGATGCATGCCGGGTCCAAGCAAGAACATCTGCTGGATTACATAGTGACGGACCAGCGAATGCGAGCCCATGTCCTTGACACCAGGACCTACCGTGGAGCTGATCTGCCCTCTGACCATCGACTAGTCATCTGTAAGATGCGCCTGCCATTCTTCCACTCCGGTGGTGGGTGTACACCCAGGACCCCATTACAACCTAAAGTGGCCTGGTCTCAGTTATCTGATGAAAGTTGCAAGCGAGAATTTCATCATCGCTTGCGGCTGGGATTGGCATCGTCCCCGACTCCTCCTGATGTCGAGGGTAAATGGGCGAGGTTTAGGACTGTGACTCATGCAGCTGCAATGGCTGCTTTGGGTACGCGGTCCAGACCTCCCCAGACACCCTGGATGACAGAGGAGTTGTTCACGATGGTTGAGAAAAAGCGACAGGTGCACTGTCATCGGCTACAGAATCCCACGTCAGAGAATGAGGAGGCTTACCGCAGCCTTCGCTCGGAGGTTCGGAGAGCCGTGAGGCGCTGCAAGGATGGGTGGTGGTCGCGGGTTGCTGAGGAGATGGAGTCTGCCTCAGTGGCCCGTGATCACAAATCTCTATTTAACTCCATCAAAAAAGTAACCTGCAGCGCCACACCTATTACCATCATTAGGGGAAAAAACGGTGATCCAATTTCCGACCCCCAGGAACAGGTTCGCAGATTTGCTGAGCATTTCTGTGAGATCCTGGGGGAGGGAAAATCCCTCAGCCAGGAAAACATCGTGGCACAAAGTGAGGATGACCCTGCTGAGGCTGCGGTGCCTCAAATATTGGATGAAGTCACCCCCTGTGAGTGGCTGGCTGAGGTGCCATCTGCTGAGGAAGTATTGAAGGCGATCCGGAGTCTGAGACCAGGAAAGGCAGCGGGCAGAGATGATCTCCCAAGCGAAATGCTGAGGGAGGGTGGCGTTTGTGCACAGACTGCCCTATATGACATCATAACAACAGTCTGGACCACTGGACGGGTTCCGCAGGATTGGAAGGATGCCCTGGTGGTCCCCCTTTTTAAGAAGGGGGACCGCACAGACTGTAACAACTACAGGGGCATCTCACTCCTCAGTGTGCCGGGAAAGGTCCTGGCAAGGATTATTCAGCATCGCCTTGCCAGGCACGCTGAGGAGAGGCTTGCGGAGCCCCAATGCGGTTTCAGGAAAGGGCGGTCCTGCACAGATGCCATATTTTCTGTCCGTCTGCTACAGCAGAGGTGTAGGGAATTCCAACAAGACCTACATCTCTGCTTTATTGACCTGGTCAAGGCCTATGATACCATCAGTAGGCCTGGGCTCTGGGTCGTTCTTCGTGCTTTTGGAGTACCTGACCCTCTGCTCACGATCATTAAGGACCTTCATGATGGTGAGCGGGCCCGGGTAAAACTACGTGGCCGGGAGTCAGAGCCATTCCCTGTACACCTTGGGGTGCGACAGGGATGTCCTCTGGCTCCCACATTATTTAACATCTATTTTGACCACGTAGTTCGTGAAGCCTTCAATAGCTGTACCGGGGGAATCTCCATATGGTACAGATATAATGGGAGACTAATCGATGCGCGGGTGCGGTCAAGGGATGGCTCCCTATTGCTCAACCACGTTATGTATGCTGATGACTTGGTAATGGCTGCTCAGTCAGAGGAGGAGTTGGAGACGCTGCTGCTGAGACTGGAGCGTGCCACTAAGAGGTGGGGCCTTACCATCAGCCCCACCAAGACTAAGCACCTGCCTGGGTATTTTGTGCCATCGGACACTCCACCCCCACAACTCCCAATCGGTGATGGGGCAGTTGTGGAGAGAGTGGAGAGTTTCCCATGCCTGGGCAGTGTGCTTATGACTGGCTCCAGTTTAACAGCGGAGGTCTCACTCCGAATCAGTCGAGCGGCGGTGTCTTTTCATCGGTTGCGTGGCGCTGTGTGGAGGCTGCCTGGTCTGTCGCTCCGCGCTGGGCTTCGGGTCTTCTCGGCCGCGGTCATTCCCTCCCTTCGCTATGCTTGCGAGGCGTGGGCCCCCCTGGTGGAGCATCTTCGCCGGTTGGAAACGTTTGGGCTGGCCTGCCTCCGATCCATCCTCGGTTTGACCGGACTCGGTTGTGTGAGGAGCTCACAAGTCCTTGGAGGATCTGGACGGGGTCCCGTCGGTGAGCTCCTCCGGCGGGCGGGGCTGCGATGGCTGGGTCATGTGGCCCGCATGCCCAGCCGCCGCATGCCGAGGCAGCTTTTGTTTGGCCGGATTGGGGGGGCTGGGCGGGCGCGGCACGGGCTGGAGAGGAGATGGAGTGATGTGGTGCGGGAGGACGTGGAGCTGGGTGGACTTGCCGATGACTGGTGCCAGCGGTGTCGGGATCGGCCTCTGTGGAGGAGGCTCGTGAAGGATGCTGCTGGGCAGTTGGAGGCAGTCGCCCTCCAACAGCAACGGAGGGCGGAGGAGCGACGCTCGCGGCGGCGAGCGGAGCGCCGGGTGGCTGGGGCACAGCGGGTTGGCACGGTGGGGGGCGCGGGTGGTGCATCGGCCAGTCGTCTCGGTCAGTCGGCCCGTGGCACCTGGGTCTGCCCCGTGACCTCCTGCCAGCGGGCGTTCGACACTTCACGTGGCCTCAGGGTGCACATAGCCTGGCACAAGCGTCGTGGTGACGTCACCGCCACTTAGTGGCGAATGGCGGTTGTTGTTGTTGTTGCATTGGATATCGATGTCCTGTTCTGTTTGCCATATTCAATACGATTGTCACCCTTCGTGCGTTCGAGGTTTCCATAGTTTAAATGTGTAATTGCGCTACGCACAATCGGTCTAAGAAATAATCTGCCCCGAGATGCTTCGTGCTGCGGCCAGTTCGTTATTTGACGCCGGTTCGTGCCTGTGCAATGTAAGTGTCATGCGACGCAGCCGTTTGCTTGCCGCGTCGCATAGGACATTGTGTATGTTGATTTACTGTGAAAAACCCAACGAATAATGGATGCCCATTGTAATTGATGTGACTGCATTAACCCCCCCTCCCCGCGCCCTTCTGATCTAATTGTCTCACAAGTGGCGGCGTCACGTTCATCACCCCCCACCCCCACCCCGCTCTATTTAAGACCGAAACAGGAGGAGGTATTTTTTCCACAACTCTGTGACTGTCGTCGTTGCAATTACCGGCGAAGTGTCACGGTACTCGAATTGTCAACGTTGTCGGTTTACTCTCAAACGCACAACCTGGAGAGTGCTGAACTCGTAACGGATTGGCATCGTTTTGTTTACGTGATCTTACTAGTTGGCTGTGTCGGGTGGTCGTGGCGGGTTTAACGACACTTTTATACTTACGCGATCTAACCCCAAAAACCTCTATTATGGATAATATTGGTCGCGAAAGCCCCATTACTACTAGCTGTTAAACGATTCCTGTTCGCTTTGTCGCTGTGTACTTTATCGTACTTTGCTTCGCATTCGTCACTTCGCTGTTGCGAACGAGACTCCGATCCTGGTCTCTGGAAGTCCTCGGCCCCGGTTCAACGAAACTCCACGTGGCGATCACCCGCGATCGCGCCTGAGATCTCGTCGGATCTCAGACGAACGGGGAGGGGTCGAGTTGTGTGCAGAGCTTGCAGTGGCAACAACCATGCACAGCCGGCTGATATGAGCTGCTGAACGGGGTATGTTGTTGTTGCGCTGTACTTCTATGCTGCATCGCCGTCGATGCTCCCCGCCTTCGCCAACCCGGGCTGGTGTGTGTGTGTGTGATGCAGTGTAGTCAAGTAATAATCGGGACCGGTTCACTTGACAAAGGATTGACTTTAGCTGGCTCCATAGCACAGTTGTATGTGTGTACGTTGAACTTCTATTGGCACTGTACGTAGCCAACCGTGCAAATTGGAGGTATGGGGGAAGGACAAAAAAATAAAGGAATACGTTTTCAATCCTAGATTTAAAAGTGCACAGCTCCCAGTGCT